CCTTTGGCCTTCCCCCCCTAAAAGTACCCTGAACCACTCTCTTCTCCTCTTCCCAGGTCCTGCCCGTCTTCCGCTCCTTTCTGCTGACCTTTGGTCTCCTCTTCCAGGAAACCGCCTCCCTGATTCCCAGAAGTCTCAGGCCCTGGTTTGTGGAACAGGGTTGGGAGCAGGAAACAAACTCCCAAGACCCAGAGAGAGGCTTCGGGAAGGTGTGGGGAAGAAGACTGCGAGCAGGGCCGGGAATTTGAGAGACACTGCAAGGAAGATGCACACAGCTGCCATCCCTGGCGCTGGCCTCCCCACTCCCCAAGCACACGCAAGAGTGCCTGCCCCGTGGCTGGAGAAGTCCTGCTCTAAGACTGTGACTATATCCTGAAGACATGGTTCAGAGGTTAAGAGAACTCTTGTAAAAGACCCAATGGTGGCTCGGAACGCCGGTTCCAGAGGACCCAGAACCTTCTGCTAGTTTCCTTGGGCCCTGGGGCATGCTTGCAGTGCAGAGTTATCTGCAGGGAAAGGACCCACGTGCACAGAATAAAAACAATTTCTTTTGAGACCAGGTTTCTCTGTGTAGCCTTGAACTCCACGGAGATGCCCCTGCTTCTGCCTCCTGAGTGCTGGGATTAAAGGCACGGGCTCTCACCGCCCAGCAAGAGCGATTTTTTGTTTGGGGGTCGGGGGAGCTTTGGGGGCTGTCCCAGAACTCAGTCTGTAGACCAGGCTGGCCTCGAACTCACCGAGATCCGCCTGTGTCTGCCTCCGGAGAGCTGGGATTAAAACTGCGCGCCACCAACGCCCGGCAAAAGCAAATATTTTGAAAAAGAATGACACGGGCCCATTTGTTAGATCTGTCTTGGACACACCCCTAAGTCTGCCACTCTGCAAGTCCCAGAGCCTGTCATCGAACGCCACCTTGCTCCCACCCAGATCTAAAAGTACCCGCTCGCTCTGATCAACCCCCCACCCCCACCCTCAGTTGCTTTCCCTTAGGAGACCAGGGAACTTGTTAGAACGCCAGAGTCAGATCACAGAGTAAAAGCCCTAAATCCTCACCTCAGCCCAACAGCCTGGGTTCCTGCTCCCCACGAGGCGTGCAAACATACGTGCGGGCACGCACGCCCATGTGCGTGTGCACACACACACACCCACACACACACACACACACACACACACACACCCCTAGCTGCTGGCTCTTCCCACCTGCTCCACTAACACACCCACCCGTCTTCAGCCCTAGGGTGTTAGCTGGAACATCTATCTCCCCGGGGTTCCCATGGCTCGCTCCCTCCTCCAGGTATCTGCTTTGAAGGAGATCTTCCCTGGGGCTGGAGAGATGGATGAGCAGTTAACACTGACTGCTCCAGCAGAGGATTTGATTATCTGCACCACAAGGCTCACAACCCTCCGAAACTCAAGTTCAGGGGATCTAACACTCCCTCCAGTCTCCAAACATGCAGACAAAACTCCCACAAACAAAACAAAAACTAGGCGCCCGGGCCTTGGTGGCTTAGTTCGAGTTCCAGGACAACCAGTACGCCACAAAGAAACCCTGTCTCAAACAAACATCAAAAAAACGACCCCCGACTACGACATTCCACGTGCCATCCTACTCTACTCGCTCCATATTTACCACTCCCTAATCTAGAAATATTCTTACACTCCCAGATGGTGATGGAGGCAGGAGTTTGAGCAACATGGTGAAGGTCAGAATGAATTATGTACTTAATTCAATAGATTGGTAGCAATCTCTTTGGTGGAAAGTCAAGTCCTCAGGGACAGGAAGAACGGTGCCTAATGAGTGTTCCGTTTGTGTTAAGAAGAACAAATCGGCTGAGAAACCTGAAAAAGAAATATACAAGCAAGAGGCAGAGCCTGTTCTAATCATCCATCGCTAGGATCTGAGATTTAAGATTCCATTCCATGCCCGCACCACCGAATGAGGGGCGACACCGCCCCCTGGCGACCAGAATGAAAACTGCACCTCCGGGGCTGCTCAGGGGAGCATTGCAAAAAAAAAAATTCACAAGGAAATAATTATTCAAAAAACGCTGTACGTCCTGAGCCTTTACTCCCAGCACTGGGGAGGCAGAGGCGGGCGGATCTCGGTGAGTTCGAGGCCAGGCTGGTCTGCGGAGCGAATACCAGGCCTGGCCAGAGTTGCACGGTGAGGTCCCATCCCAAGCGAACGGCTTGGTTGGCTTCTAAAGCGTGAGGACTTCCCAAGCCGACGAGGACGCACGGTACACGCGGGCTTTTTCAAAAGGGAAGAAAAGAGTGCTCCAGGTGAGGATCGAACTCACAACCTCGGCATCGCTCCGCCTGCACTGTCGTATAAGTACCGCGCGCTAACCGATTGCGCCACTGGAGCTCCGGCCGCACCCTCGCGCCGCTGCGTCCTTCAGTCCGTGGTGGGAGGCGCGGTCTGGCCGCACGGCCCCGCCCCGACATTGCATATGCAAATTCAGAGCCCCGGGGCCGGCCAATGGGAGCCAGAGTGCGCGGCTGTTCCGGATT